GCTCGCCAGGGCTGCGCCCCACCCCTTCATCCCCCAGCCTGGATGGATATCGGGGGTTGCCCCCACCCAGGAGCAGGACCTTGCACTTGGCCTCGTTGAACCTCATGAGGTTCACATGACCCCACCTCTCCAGCTTGCCCTGGTCCCTCTGGATGCCATTCTGTCCTTCTGGCATGTCAGCCACACCGCTCAGCTTGGGGTCATCTGCAAACCTGCTGAGGGTGCCCTCGATCCTGCTGTGTCATGATCCCTCCAATCCCCTCTCCCTGTAGGAATTACATTTTCCATTTATAAGGACCTGGCCTCTGAAGCAACAAGGTCCCCTTCAGTTTCTACCCAGGGCCCCCTGGCATCGAACAGGGCAGCGGAAGCACGTATTTATGAGATTACTGGTAAAGGGGGAAGACCAACATTTGCAGAGTTCACTCAGGATGGGTCAGCTGGTTGCAGCTGAACCGATCTGACCACCCCGCACACCCAGCAATCTCTTTGCGTGTCCCGTGTCCTGCCCTCACTGCTCACATGCCCAGGGAATGCCCAGCTTAGAGACTGTTGACCTTGACATAGTTCTTGGAGGAGGCCACAGGAGTTGAGAGCCCGAGCTGCCCTGGGCAGCATTTTCCCTTGGACTGACCTGCCAGACCCTGATCCCGCACACTCTGGGGCCCTAGAAAGAGCCACTCTTCAAGGGAAACCTGAAGACCAGATTCCTACATGACCCAAGAACCAGGTTGTCTCACACTCCACTGCGAGTGGGACCTCACAACATCAAACTGTCACACGGGGTCAGCACTTCAGGCATCCAAATCTGAAGCATCCCCAGCTTACAGCAGATGGAGAAGGAGCTAGGACCACTGTGATGGTGGCAAGATCTTTTCACCCCTGCCACATGCCTTGCATGGTTGGCATTTTGAGATGGCAGTTAAATCTGAGCCCCAGCACAAAGCAGAAAGCACCAACAGGGAAAGGACTGGTTGTGGAACACAGAATGATTGACACGCTGGCACCATGCGCACAGCCTCAGGAAGACCAGCAGAGCCTCCACCTCCACTCGGGGACAACGAGGACCAGCCCTGTGGCAGAGCACAGAGGGAAGAGACACCCACAGGGGCAAACCACAAGGAAGTGGAAATCCACGCAGCTTCAGGACTTACCTCCACCCATTTCCCGTTGACTTCCATGAAGAGGACGCAGAAGGGGTCCGATTTGGAAGTGACATCCCTGTCCAGAAGGTTTTGGCCGCAAACAGACAACTCAACTTTGCAGACACAGTACTGGGAGCCAATGGGCCCAGCTGGCGTGGGAGTCACGGTGTACGCCATGGACCCCAGTGGCAGCAGCTCCAGGCAGGCTGTGGGACACGAGAACAGAGAGGAACCTCAGCGCAAGCACAGACGCAGAAAATGCCCCATCGCTGCCATTGGGTTGGACCCGGGCAGAGGGGACACATCTGGAGCCTCCTGCTCCACGCCATGCTCAATAAGTTATGAGGCTTCCCTGGCTCCAAAGCATCTTCCCAGCCCGGTCGCCTTCCCCATGTGGCCATGTCCTGGTTTTGGCTGGGATAGAGTTAATTTTCTTCACAGTAGCTAGCATAGTGCTGTGTTTTGGATTCAGTACTACAAGAATGTTGATAACACACTGATGTTTTCAGCTGTTGCCAAGTAGTGCTCAGACTACTCAAGGACTTTTTGAGCTTCTCCTGCTCGCCCAGGTGCATAACAAGCTGGGAGGGAGCACAGCTAGGACAGCTAACCCAAACTGACCAAAGGGCTATTCCATACCATATAACGTCATGCTCGGGGGGTAGTGAAGAAACAAGAGTGGGGAAATACAGGAATAAGGGGATGAAATTGGCCACTTGCATGTAGATAGTTGGCTGGTCAGTACACTAGCCTGGCCATGCCCTTCATGTGACCAGCACAGGCTGTCCTGTCTTCTTATTAAATTCCTGTCCTGGTTTCGGCTGGGATAGAGCTAATTTTTTTCATAGTAGCTAGCATAGTGCTGTGTTTTGGATTTAGTACTAGAAGAATGTTGATAACACACTGATGTTTTCAGCTGTTGCCAAGTAGTGCTCAGACTACTCAAGGACTTTTTGAGCTTCTCCTGCTCGGCCAGGTGCATAACAAGCTGGGAGTACAGCACAGCTAGCACAGCTAACCCAAACTGACCAAAGAGCTATTCCATACCATATAACATCATGCTTGGGGGGGGGTTAATTTCGGTCGGTCGGTCGCGGGGAGACTGCTCACGGCTCGGGGACTGCTCGTGGCTCAGGACGGGCTGGGCATTGGTCGGTGGGGGGTGAGCAATTGCCTTGTGCCTCATTCGTTTTGTATATTCTGTATATTCTGTTATCATTCTCATTATTACTATTATTATTATTTTCTCTTATTAAACTGTCTTTATCTCAGCCCTCGGCTCTAACCTTTTATTTTCTTTCCGATTCTCTCCCCCATCCCACTGAGGGAGGGGGGAGTGAGCGAGCGGCTGCGTGGTGCTGAGTTGCCAGCCGGGTTAAACCACGACAGGCCACCACACCAGGCAGACGTCCAGAGCCCAGCAGAGCATCTACAACCTGCCTTGGTTTTAATCCATAAAGAGCAGATTTTCAAGGAAATGTAACACCTTCTGCTTACCCCCTCCCCCCACCCCCACAGAGGGAGGGCTGGGGTCCCCAACCTCTAGCACGTTGGGTATTTTTGTGGGGAGGAGCTACACTTCCACACCATCTTTCAGCACGAAAACCAGTTGTCGTCTCTCTGGTCCCAAGCCATGGACCACGGACCTAAGGTACGAAGGCCAAACTTGAACTTTGCCCCCCCCCAAATCATCACACGGAAAGGGGTGAGACTGTGAGGATGTGTGGGGTGGAGGCAGCTCCAGCCCTGGCTCAGCCCTACCTGCACCCAGGCCAGCAGAAAGCAGTGTCCCCGGCAGCAATTAGAAAGCGGAGTTAGCTCACAGAAGAGCAAGGCAAATGTGACAACCACCGTGCAACCCGGCACACGGGGCGATTTCCAGGGCCCTGCTAACCCCCCTGGTTATAAGGAGAGCTGACCAAAAGGCCACTAACAGCACAATTTTGCAGAGATAAATGGGTTTTATACCATCACTAGTGCAAAACCCCACCCCGCGTGACAATTTTGCTGTCTGATGTGAAGTTCACTCAGCAGAAACCATCAAAGATCTTGCACAAAGAAGAAGAAAGGGGGAAAAAAAAGAGGGGAAAAAAAGGATTTTCAGAGTAAGTTATACTCACAAACCCTGGCAGCTGGGGTGGCTGTTGGAGAGTGCGCTCTCCTCAGCAGCTGCTTCAGTATCTTTTGCCGTAGCCCCTCTTTTTCCACTTTATTGGAAAGCCCAGTCATCACCTTCCCCCATCTCAATAAGCCATCTGCTGCTGTTTGGCATGGTAACCCCCATTCATATTTGGTTTGCCCTGGCGCAAGCATTTACCAGCGCTTGCGGCACTGGGAGCTGTGCTGCTGCTCCCCTCCCTCGCAGCAAAGCCTCCCAGCGGGGGGGGGGAGAGGGGTGGGGGTGATCACCCCTGGGATGGGGTGATCCCAGCCCCTACCTGGCTTTGGGAGAGGGAGCTCCGGGCTCACCGCCCACCCCCCGGAGCACCCAGCCCCAGCAGAGATGAATATGGAGCGGAAAAACGGCTCCTGCTTCCAAGGCTCTCAGCCCTCCTCTCCTACCTGCCAAGATCCCTGCTTGGCACTAAGTCACCCCAAACAAGCCTGGCTTTAACCCCAAGGGCAAGCGCCAGCTCTTCCCTGCAGCCCACTGCTGGGGGCAAGGGCACTGCAGCCCCTGCAGCTCCATAGGAACCCAGAAACATCTCCAGGGGAAGGAAACCCCCAGCCTCAGCTGTGCATATATCACCCAAACAGCACCCACGGCCCTTCCCTGACCACGGTCCCCCCTCTCCTGGGCTAAGCGTGTCCCACGCCGTCGCCCCCCACGGCACGTGTGGGCAGTGGTCCATCGACCGCGACTGCAAGGAGAAACACAAGCAGAAGCAAAAGTCCTCCCGGCTCAGCCACTGCAAAGCCCCGGTGGCCATGGGGGTGATGCCTGTGAAATGCCCGTCCCCGCTGGAGCTGCCTCTGCTCCTCTCAAACCTGGCTGTAGCTAAAACCAAGATTTTTTTTTTTTTTTTTCCCTTTAATGCACTGTATTGGGTCGGGCTGCACGGTGCTGTGCTTCCTATCGGTGTGTAGAAAGGGGCTGATCACACACGGGTGTTGTGGCCACTGCTGAGCAGTGCTCACAGCATCCAGGCTGGGTCTCCAACGTTCCCCCACCACCAGTGGGCTGGGAGGGGGCAAGGTCTTGGGCTGGGACGTAGCCAAGACCCCTGACCCAAGGGATGTTCCACACCATGTGACATCGGCTCAGATGTAAAAGCTAAGGGAAAAGGAGGAAGGTGGGGGGCATTTGTCTTTTTATGACATTTTGTCTTCCCAGAGCAGCAGCTCTGCCCACTGAAGCCCAGCTTCCCGGGAAGTGGCTGGACGGCGCCTGCTAATGGGAAGTAGAGAATAAAATCTTGTTTTCCTTTTGCTACCACGTGAGGCCTTTGCTTTTGGTTTTTTTTTATCAAACCGCCTTTATCCTGGCCTGTGAGTTTTCTTTCTTTTCCGCCTCATTCTCTCCCGTCCCGCTGAAGAGGGGAGCAAGCAAGCGGCTCTGGTGAGTGCCTGGCACCCAGCCAGGGTCGAACCACCACATGCACAGATCATGCAATCGGCATCTCAAAATAGCCAGGCCTGTGCTATTTATTTTTCTGTCTGTCTGCCACTCCCTCCAAAAAGCAAAGACGGGGCAGCTGTGCTGGCACAGACCTGCTCCTGCCGGAGCAGGGAGATCTGGGCTGGGTTTTTCCATCTCCCCTTCCCCCAAATCTCGGCGCCATCTCACATAAAGCAGAGGCAGCAAATGACTCAGTGGAAAAAGCTTTTTCCCAGGGCTGGCAAGCACCAGAGCATCCTCCCAGCACACTGTGCATCGCCCGTGCTCCAGCCCCTGCACTCAGCCGGCCGTGCTCCCGATGGCACATGGTCAAAATGGGCACGGGGAAGAGGAGAGGTGGCCAACACCAGCCAGGACCAGCGAGGGCAGAGACCTGGTGGGGCTGGTGTCCCCTGCACGGACACGCTCCCCGCCTAGGCACACAGAATCGGGGACTGGGACAGTGGCCTCTTCCCCGGGGGCCAGCCTGGAGACCTTGATGCCACCTCACGGGTGCCCAGCACCAAATCCCGTGGTTGCCCTTCTCCAGGAAGGCAAGAGGCAGTGGGACGGTGCTGCTACCCCTTCCACCACTATCCCAGTAAAGATTTTTCCACCAAGGAGCTGCCAGTCCAGCCAGCCCACCAGGGACAGAGATGCCAGCCGGACGGGCAGCTCTCCCGAATCACGGCTCAGGCTACTCCTTCCCCCCAGCTCCACTCCTGGTACAAAAGCCCGAGGAGAGTAACCGTCCCGATTCAGCTAAAAAGTAATTCATTCAATGAAAAAGTCATTTTCCCAGCTAGGTTGGTTCCCAGACCCCACGGCAGGGGTAATGCTCAGAGAGGCGGGGGGGCCAGAAGTTGGCAATGCCACCAGGGCACAGCCACAGCCATAGGTGCCACCGTTGCTCAGCCACGCACACCACCCTGCCCTGGGCAGCGGCTGCGGGAGCCCCAGCCACCTCTGCCCCCGCTGTGCCCGCACAGAGCCAGCACCCCCCGGGGCCAGCCGGGGGCTTGGTCTCTCTGCCCATCTGCAGCACCACCAGGCTTTGGTGAGCCGGCAGCATTTTAACCCCCCAGCAAATGCTTTCAATTGGGGCAGTGGGGGTGTGGATTTGAGCTGGCACTGAAAGAGCTGGCTCACCATCATCTGTGTTCCAGTCTCTCCTCCTTTTTTTGTTCTCCTCTGCCCGCATGCACTGCCCTGAACAATGTCCTGCGACTTGCTTGACACCTGCGGCCAAATATTCTCCCGGCTGCCAGCTTCACGCGGATCAGGTGGATGTGCGATTCTCCCGCTGAAACGTGTCCAGGCTACCGATGACAGGTCTCAGGGACAAGCACGAAGGTGGTTGCCTCGTGGTCCCGCCTGCCATCATCCACAGTTAATGCCTGAGGAGGTGTCACAAGAGCAGGACCAGTGTGGAGGGACATGGTCCCCAAATCCTTTCTGGGCTCCAGCCTCCAGGATCTCCTGAGCTGGATGCATCTTTGTGCTTCGCAACCTTCAAGTGCTGTTTCCTCCATGACTTGTCCACCTCCAAGCTGCTCCGTGTCCATGTCACCCCACAGCAAGGGGCTCTGCTGGCTGGGGGCACACATG